CAATGGACAAAATAGGTAAATAGTGAGTAGGAGGTACAGGCTTCCATCTATGGAATGAGGAAGTCACAAGGAAAAAAGGTACAGCAGGGAATATAGTCAATGGTATTATAATAGCTTTGTACGGTGACTGATAGTAGCCACACCTGTGAACATAGCATAATGTATAGACTTGTCCAGTCACTATGTTGTGAACCTGAAACTAATGGAACATCGTGTTATCAATTTTACTTCAATAATATTTTTAAAGACTTCATTTAAAAAAAGACACCTGCTTAGTTAAGTGATACCTAGAACATCAATTGCTCATCCTCCACCTCCTTCCTAGGTAACTTTTTTTCCAATTCTTTCCCCGCCTCTCTCCTTTCTCTCTCCTCCTCGTCTTCTCTCCCTGCTACATACACACATATACAATGTGTTTAAATTCAATTATTAACCTAAAATAAGGCAGTCCAGAAGGGACAACATCCAGAGAACAATAAGTGGTAGAGAGAATAAAAACACATGGTAAGTAAGTGTAAGAGCCATGCCATTTATTGGCTATATTGCCAAAACCATTCTTGATCCAGATAAACCACCTGTGTCAGGTCTAGACAGGTATGGCTCCAAAATCTGACAGAGAGTTTATTTATCTCAGTGATATTACAGGAGAGAGCAAGAGAAGGAAACAATCCCAGTCTCAAATCCAATGTACAAAGGAACGTTTCTATGTGTTTCTGAGGTTTTATATATATCACTGTCCATCTCTACAGAAACCTGTTGGGTAAAGCATCTCACTGATAATAAGTTTCCTCAATGCACCTTCCAAATCCACAGGTAGAAGGAGTAAACATCATGCAGAGCCAAGTTGCCCTTAAACATTTACCCTGAACTTTAGTTTCAGTTTGTAGCAAACTCATATAACTGTGAAAAAATTTTCGTTCAAAAGTTCTCAAAGACTTGAGAAAAGTCTTTATAGTTGGTCTGATTTTCCACACCATGTCAGGAAAAAAAAAAAGAAACAAGAAAAAAAACAAAACTGGTTTCATTAGGATCCCAAAGTTAACCTGGGATAGATCTAGGTTAAAGTGAATTCCATGGTCCAACCTGTAACAAACTATACTTTAGAAAGCCACTGGATCTTGATCAATTCTGGGGAGAGGGGAGGGAATCAGGGGTTTACCTGACTTGGGAAACTCGCCAATGGCGTTATTAGATGAATGCATGTATTTGGAAAAGCATAGCAGCTTACCAGTTGTGCTTTATCACAAAAGTGAATATTTACCCTAGAGCAAACCCAAATATGAAATTTATTTCTAATCAAATGATTAGCAAATCTGCAACTGTGTTCAGTACAACTTTGTTATCTTTTACAACTATGTGATTCACTTGATAAATACTAAGTCCAGGGTGCCTGAGCATCTCAGTCAGTTAGGTGTCTGCCTTCAGCTCAGGTCATGATTCTAGGGTTCTGGGATCATGCCCCATGTCGTTGGGCTCCCTGCTCAGCAGGGAGTCTGCTTCTCCCTCTCCCTCTCCCTCTGCCCCACAGCCCTCGCTCATGCTCTCTTCTCACTATCTCAAATAAATAAATAAAACCTTTAAATAAGTAAATATTAAGTCCATGAGGAAGAGCTCCACTGAACAAGTTTCATTTTTAAAGTCTGGTCAAAAGTATCCGTTGACAAGCTAAGAAAACAAGCTAAACAAAAGCTCAAATCTATGGTGTCAAATCTATGCTGATTATAAACAGTAATTTAGACAACCTGAGTTATGAAATCACAATGTCTATAATTAAATACTATAGTCTTACTTCATCATACTTTAGCAAAATATTACTGAATGAGTACCACAGAAAATACAGTATTACAATAAATATTTCCCAAAACCCAAGCAAAATTTTACTCAGTTATACAGTTTAAATAGCAAACATCAGAACCAAGAAAAGGGGGAAACATATATTACATAGGAAGCCTCATAGCCCACCTTTCTTCTTGACTGGCATTCTTGGGTCTTTCCACTGCCACAGGATCCAAGATCTCTTTTCAGGTCTCAACTTGATTCAGCTGGATTGAGGCCAAGAGCCAGGTAACTGTTGCAAACCACTTCACTGCTCAATTTTGAAATCCAGGCTGTCTTCTCTTCCAGATAGAGGAAAAAATTATGTGTTTTTTTCACAATTAAACTTTTGACACTGCCTACAGAGTTCAGAGAAAAATAACCTTGAGTTTTTCAATTTTTATAAAATATTTATTCTGTTAAAAAAAAACTGAGAAAATTATTCTAAGCATAGAAAATGTTATTAAAACTCCTCTTCAGACATCAACATTTTTGGAATTCAGTGACTAACTCAATTAAGGCACAAACCACATTTACACAGCTGTCTCATTACTCCATACATGATCAAATTCAAAGATGAACTGGTTGATGATAAAGATCCTCAATTCTTTAAAGAAAAATGTAACCCCCTCCCCAACAACAACAACAAAAAAATACTTTAAAAAACCTTTTTGCCTCTGGTCTCTAGAAAGGTGGGTGAGTTTGAACAGTTTTCTGGGGCAGATCACAGACTGACTGAAAGGCCCCTTTTTATTTACTGGACCAGAAGTTCCAGATCTCACCCCCTCAGTAAGACAGGATCCAGCTTGTTGTCACTTTCATTTTTTTCTTCTGTGCTCTCCAAGCCCCTCGGGCTTAATCCTTAATGCCCCTCTGATTCTGATCCTCCCATGTATTAACCGAGAGGATTGAAAAGAAGGAAAGCAATCCCTTGGCATGGAGACATTAAAGTGACAGTGCTACTCAATGGGCACTTGATGCAGGATGAGTTGGCGAAGCAGATTTCTTCACACTGGAGTCATTCACATCATGCCATCCCTTCGCATCCGAGCAGCTCCCTAGCCGGCGAGGAAAAACACCGAGACTGTTCAAGAGAAGTCAAACCTTCCCCCAAAGGTGTTTTCTGAGACGATGTAGTAGTATTAGGCATGTGAGCACAAGCTGTGCAAACGGTTCGCGATTTCCTAAATGAGAGTTCTGCTGCTTGGCTTCCACATCCACCCTTTCTCTCAATCTCTCTCCAAACTACCCACCTTCCTTTTGCAGAAAAGACAAGAAATCTCTCTGCTACCGCTGGCCACCCCTGCCCACACCCCGTTCTTATATAGAAGTGCACAGAAATGTCCTGCACCCTCCACGCGATGAAGTGTTTCCTCAGGCAGGAGAAACAGCAGCACTAGAAATTATATAACTCTCGAATTTGGCTTCTCTAAGACATGGAGACTGGAGGGTCGGGGGTTGCTGGTCTGGGAGATACTGCTGGGCACTGAACGTGCACAAAAGGGCGCCAGGCCTCCTCGCAGCGCCCCCACCTCAAAATATCGGCTGGCAAAGGGCTCTTCTTGGGAAGTGGGGGGAATTTTCTCTTTGGTCCCTTTCCAAGCGGGGTGAAAGGATGGAATACGAGGGAACTAGAGACTAGGAGAGGAGTCAGACCGCTGCGGGGGGAGGAGGTAGTCGGGGCTGCTCTGGCGGCTGGTTGGGGGCTCAAAGGAGGCGGTGCCCGGGAAGCCGAAGCCTTAACACACGAACCAGGCCAAAGGGGAGAACTCCTTCAAAGAGTGAAAGGGCCGGCAGGTCGGCCCCACCTAACCGAGGTGCCCAGAAGAGAGGAAAGCGCGCAGCAACATCCCTGCGCTCGGACCGCCCCACGCACGCCCTCAGCATGAGTGAAGAGGGAGCTAGGTTAACAAATAGCAGGGTAAGGGAATGTAGGGCTGGCAAGAAGGCGGGCCCACGGCCGTCTGGACCTCCTCGAAGCCAATGAGCGGCCCTCATTTCTGGACGCCACGCCCTATCACAGCCGGGATGGAGGGCGCGGCTTTTGACTGGACCGGAGAGGGCCGGGGCTGCAGGCTAGAGGCGTGAGCCGGCACCACTTCCCGCTCCGGGCGTTCTGGGTCCCCGCCCACCGCTAGTCATGTGAGCCACCAAAATGGCGGCGCTCGGGCGTGAGGCTGGGGCTGACCTGAAGGAAGCAGGTGTGGTGCCGGTGAGAGCCGAGGAAGCGCCCAAGGTAGGTGGAAACTCGGGCCGTATGAGTCTTGATTTCTGCAGCCTCAGTATATTAACGGGCTCTTCTGAAATGATGGAATTTTAAAACCTAAAGAGAACAACCTCCAAGCCCATGCGGGACGCAGTGAAGCCCCCAGTTGTTTTGGAAGGAGGCGGAGAGAAAATAGGAGATTTAAAGTCTAGTCCCGATTGCTTGCAGTTTCTTTTCTCTTGTCTCCAGGCCTTTCGCTGGCTTTCAACTTGAAATACTTTCGTGTAGTTTCTTCCACACCTTACCCCATCCCTACCAAACTCTCTTTCAGATATTCCTTTAAACGTCACTACTCTGGGAAACCTTCCCACACTTCTCCTGGCTAGGTTAAGGCTTTTCTCATGTTTTTTGTTTGGTTTGGTTTCTTTCTTTCTTTCTTTTTTTTTTTTTTTTTTTTGTGGTTTGGTTTCATTTTTATGGCACACTAATTCTGCCTTTAAATTAACCTACCTTTTTGTCCTGACCTCGGTCGGGTTATGGATTCCAGAGGACACAACTGCATCTTAATTATCCTTAGGTCTTTCAGATACCAGGTGCTGTGTAAATGATGGATATTAAATAAAATTCTGAAAAGCCAGGTAAAATAATACACATAAAAGCAGTACAAAACTACTTTGCAGACTATAAACTTGAATACATACACTCTTACTGGGATAATCGTGGTGACCAGTTGAGTGGCCTTGGACAAGTCAATTTTTAGATAAAATGCTTGTTATAGTTGATGGAGGGAGGTGGGTGGGAAATGGGCTAAATAAGTAATGAGTATTAAGGAGGGCACTTCCTATGATGAGCATAGGATATTAAATGTAACTGATGGATCACTAAATTCTTCTGAAATCAATGTTAGACTCTGTGTTAACTAACTGGAATTTAAATAAAATTTTTGAAAAAAATTAAAATTTAAAAAAGTTATCACAAAGTCTTTACATTTCAGTACTTGTTAAAAAAGTCTATCAAAAAATTACTACTCTCTTTCTCTGCTTTAGTAACAGTGCCTTCCAAAGACTAGGTGCAAGATTAATGTTTGCAGTCAGTAAGCATTTGTCCTGTTTCAGTGTTTTAGAATCATAATACTGGGTGTCTGGGTTCCCTCTGTATTGATAGTGTAGACAGGTATAAGGTTGGTACAAGGCATTGCCTTAGAGTTTTCTTTGTGGGAAATAAGGGAATTAAAGGAATTGGATGACAGCAAAATAAACATTTATTTTAAATAAACATGTGATAAATTACCATGTTACTGATATCTGCCTTCATAGTATATTAGATGGATTAGATATAGAGTCTCCCTTAGATACTACTGTATCTTCCGTTTTCCATTTAGATGTCCAAAAGAGCCAGAAGATTAAACCTAATCCATAAGAAATTATAATTTATCATTTTTTACCTGTCCCCTCAGATATTTTAAAGAAAAAAATAGTACTAGCCGGAGTCCATTTCTACAATGATGCAGGGCAAGAAGCTTGTCCATTACTACTCATTTATTAATAATGTATGAAAGTTAAAGGAGCCCATACCTTTAGAATGTTGATGCCATGGATGACTTAACCTTTCATTAGTTAGGGTTAAGATGGGTACATATCAGTTATTCAACAAATGAGTATTACAGTGATGTTTAACAATTACAGTGTGTGTCCACTGATTACCAGTGTCAGAATCACTTAGTTTATTAAAATGCAGATTTCTAGACTTCATCCTTCTCCTATTGAATCCAGATATCAGGAGGGAGCTCACAAAACTGCATTTCAAATAAACCCCGCGTGTGATTCTGGTGCAAACTAAAGGTTGAGAATCACTGATTTATTATCTTCTGAGTTCATTATGCTTATTCCACTCTAATTCTTTTGCCCAGGACTCTTGAAATTTAAGATCTAGTCTGTGCCCTTATTATAAATGTTAAAGTGGAGGTCAGTATAAACTGTGAAGGGCCATAATTTTTTTAATCTATTTGTTGGCTAATCTGGACTCCCATAATGCTAGCATGGCAAAAGATTTAACAAATGTTATTGTTAAGAGTTTTCACAGAGATGCAAGAGTCTTACCCAGAGCAAAAGATTCAGAAAGGATCCTTTCTTAAGATCCAATTTTGTTTTGTTTTCTTTATCACTGTTTTTTACTTTCTTTTAAGGTGCTGCTGTATAAACTGTCGTGGTCCCTTGACATTGGCAACTGTCTATTCAGACATCACACTTGGGACATAGGAACCTTCCCACACTGGAGCCCAGTGCCATGGGTCCAGGTTCCCTGGTGCACTACATATAGTTTCCAGCAAAGGCTGTGCTTCTGCTGCAGGTGCTCCTAGGGAGCTGGATATATTACAGGACAAACCTAAAATTTATAAGATTTATTATTAATATCATTAGCTATTATGGTTCTGAAATTTTGTGTTTTCCAGGACATCAGAATGGCAACATACACACAATTTATGTAATCCAGGGTATCCATAAGCATTACCTTTTCCTAGCCTGAAAGAGTGTCCCTCTCTCTAATGTTCTCTCTCACTAAGCGAGGCAATCCCTGCTCTCCTCCTTCTCCAGGAAACTCAGCAAACTCTCCAAAATGATCTCAGGCTTTCATGAGACAGTTGTTAACAAGTGCTCTTGTTTCCTTCTAGCTCTGAAAAAGCTAGAGCAAGAATACAAAGCTTGTCTACCTTTGGGGAAAACTGTAAGAACAACAAAAATTCAGTATCTCAGTAAGTTATCCTTCTACACTAGGTCCTAAGGCAAGTCAACCTTTCTGAACCTTATTTTTCTCATCTATAAAAGTGTAAAAATAGAGATGATCAGTATTCTACCAATTTCACAAAAAGTCATTATCTAGCAGGTAATAAGAGCTACTAAATATTGATTGAATCATTGACAAAGTTTGTGAAAGCAGATGACAATTTTACTAGGATCTAAATCGTTTTTAATCTGAACCTAAAATTTATAAGATTTATTATTAATATCATTAGCTATTATGGTTCTGAAATTTTGTGTTTTCCAGGACATCAGAATGGCAACATACACACATGGTCAGCCCAGTCTTTCTCTGGAAGATGGAAAACTCAGAAGACCAATGATCATCGAAATCATAGAAAAAAAAATTGAATATCTTAGAAAAGAAAAGTAAGAGACATACCCAGACTGAAAGTCTCTAACTTTATTTGCACATCTTCTATATTGCCATTGTTTCTGAGTATCTAAGATCCTATTAATTTTATTGAGTTGGTTATAAAGAGTTTATGAAAAAACTTGAGGGAAAAAATACACAGATGAAAATAGTAGTTTGTTGGACTATTGGGACTGTGGATAATTTCTTTTGCTTCTTAGAAAATGTCCAAAACTATTGTTGAAATGTTATTTATACAGTAAACATTTTTAAATTAAAAGCAATTAGGAGGGGCGCCTGGGTGGCTCAGTGGGTTAAGCCTCTGCCTTCAGCTCAGGTCATGATCTCAGGGTCCTGGGATTGAGCCCCACATCAGGCTCTCTGCTCCGCGGAGAGCCTGTTTCCTCCTCTCTCTCTCTGCCTGCCTCTCTGCCTACTTGTGACCTCTATCTGTCAAATAAATAAATAAAATCTTTAAAAAAAAAAAAACAATTAGGAGAATACCATTTTGGGAGCTACTTATATTTAATTGATATTTAATTGTAATTACATTCAGTTTAGAATTGATTAACGTAGTGCAGTGCTGAATTCAAAAAGAAATACAGATTCCATGATGTACGTATAGTTTCATATTACCATTTCAACTTAGATTAACAGAGCTCAAGAATAAAATAAAAGGACATTAATCTTAGACCTCAGACATTTTGAATTTAGGTATGAGAATCAGTAAAACTAGATTTGTCAAATCTCTTTGCATATCCTAGACACATTATTTTAAATATATTTGCACTAATTAAGAAATAGTTATTTGTTAGAGGGCCTAACCAAATGTAAACAACTTTGACTTAAGCAAATTAATTTTTTTAGTAGTAAAAGCAGTATTCTTAGGTATCTCATAAATTTGGCTATATTGGAACATACTCATTTTTATTTGTGGCCAAAATTTTATCTCTTAGAAGAGTTCCATTTTAGAACCATTCCAAGTGATTTCAGAAAGAGGCTTCTATCCTCTCATTAGAATGCAAATTCCATGAGGGGGGATTATTTTTCTTTACTCACTGCCCCATCCTCAACACATAGAAGATGTCTTTTGCATAGTAAGTGTTGAAGAAATATTTGATGTTGAGTAAATACATAATAATAAATCACTACCCAGGAAAGGATATCTCCATTAAGAGAATATTATGTTGAATGTAATTTTTCTCTTTGTTTTTCCTATAGGACTTTAAATATATATGGCACAGCGTTCCTTGGAACAGCAGCTAGTTTCTCTGGAATAATGGCCAACTTCATTTTCAGACATTGCTTCAAGGTTAAACATGATGCTTTGAAGACGTATGCATCACTGACTACACTTCCGTTTTTGTCTACTGTAGTCACTTATAAGCTCCTTGTAACGGATGCTTTGTATTTGGGTAAATTTAAATTCATTAATATATAATGTGTTTAAGTAAAATTAGACATTAACATATACTGTTGATAATGATCACTAATGCTCGTATATTGCTTTGCCACTTAAAAATTACCTTCACATACATTATCCTAGTTCATCCCCACCACAGTCCTCCTGATTAGGCAGGGCACGACGTGTCATGTCCTCTTTACAGATACACAACCAAAGGTAAGACATGTTCATGTATGCTAAGAAACAACATACTGGAGAAAAAGCAAATTTTGGCATACTGCACACATGATTTCAGATTCTGCTTCCCCCTACTTAAGTTTTGTGACAATGTGCAAGTCATTGAATATCTGAGACTCCGTTCTATAAGTTAGGACTACCAATACCTACCTCCCAGACTGTTGTGATGATTAAAATACTGTATGTTAAATGCCTAATGAGGTAGCTACCCTATTGTGGGCTTCTAATGTTATTTCCTGCCTCTTCCTCTTACCTTAAGTTTCATAACTAGTCATTGATGGAACCTCTGAATCCTATTTATCAGGTCCCTGCTCAAGTATCTCTTTCCCAGGGAAATCTCTGATTCCCTCAGGGTAGGGTAGGTTTCTAGATAAATTTTCTGTTCATTTTACGTTCAAAGCATTGTGCACAATTAAAAATTATGTACTTAAATATTTGTCCTAGTCCTTCTTTCCTTGTGGACCCACTTAAAGGGTCTCTTTTTTGCAACATTATATCACTAATACATGCCTGACACATAGCAATAAAAATGTATTAACCTAGAATCCAGATGTCTGGGTCTACTTGTTTAATATTTTCCTTATGAAATTGCTTTCTGCAGCAATTATATATATAAGAGATAACTCCCCTTATATTAAGTATAATAAAAGCATTTTTTTAAACATGGTGCATTTAGTCTATCATGTGCCTTAGACTGAATTTCTAATATTCTTTCTGTTGTTTCACTATGATTGAGGATAGTACAGGTAACTACTCTGTGAGGATACAAGACTCTCTTAATAACTCTTATCCTGAATTTTTAAAAGAAACCAAATTTACTTTTGTTTTCCAGGCAATATAAGCCAGGAAAATTGTGTTCTGAGAAGTTCACTGATTAGCATAATATGTGGTGTTTTATATCCCTGTGGTTTGGCTTTCTCTAAAAATGGACGCCTTGCAGTCAAGTAAGTCTGTCTATTTGTTCCTTTTATTCCTTCCTTCCTCCATTTTTTTTTTTTTTAAAGATTTTATTTATTTATTTGACAGAGAGAGACACAGCGAGAGAGGGAACACAAGCAGGGGGAGTGGAAGAGGGAGAAGCAGGCTCCCGCCAAGCAGGGAGCCTGATGTGGGGCTTGATCCCAGGATCCTGGGATTATGACCTGAGCACAAGGCAGATGCTTAACGACTGAGCCACCCGGGCACCCCCATTTTTTTTTTAAATGTACATAAACTTTTCTTACTCTTTAGCTGCCAATGACACACTTTAATTATAACGTAGTATGGTATTTCAAATAGCTGGCTTTAAACCTTTTTGCTATGTATATGAAAGACCATAGAATAGAAATTATCCATGAATACCATTGAATCCATCAATGAACTTTTCATAGAAAATACATCCAAAAGAAGTTCTTGATTATTTTTCCTTTTTAGGTATCATACTGTTCCATTGCCACCAAAAGGAAGGGTTTTACTTTACTGGCTGCTGCTTTGTCAGACAGAGATAAAAGCCATGATGATTCCTCTAGTCTTAGAGACGGCCTTTGGAATATTTAATGGTCTACAGCATTATGCAAGATTTGAAAGTAGACGAGAAAACTGTACATGAAGATTAATCAAAGAGTGAATGGATACTAAATCAGCATAATGGGGTTTTTTTATGATGAGGACTCAGGCATTGCTGAAGCAGTTAAAAGTAACTCTGGACAATTTGTTTCTGTTCCTTTGCCTGGTATACAGTGTACTCAATAAATATTCAGTAATTCAGCATTTAAATGTAAGTTTCATCTTTCTTTATTGTGTGTGGAAATGGGTTTGAGACATCAAGGTCTGCTCTACACATTTATATATTCATGAGACATTTAAGTACCTTATATCTCAGGTACCATGTAACATGTAATAAGGAATGGTCCTTAACCTAGAAGGAACTCATAATTAGAAGAGAAATTTAAAATGTGAACACATAGCAAGAGAAGGTTTGAGAAGTACACAAATAATTCTGTGGGCACATAGAGGATATGGCTTTTAACTACTTGGGTAGTGGTAAAAACTAAGGGAAGAAAGTGACATTTGACCTATATTTTGAAGGAGTAGTTGACAGTTCGTAAGAAAGCAACACATAGAAATTAGCATACAGCCCATTCCTCTCTCCTGCACTCTTACTCTGTATACTTTCTAGCCTCTTATCATTAACGAATGTGCTGTTAAAGGAACTTTACTGAGTGCCTATTATGCTGTGCATTATTATAGATACCAGGGGTCCAAAGATTCAGTCCCTACTCTTCAAGAAGCTCAAAATTTAAGGAAAGAGATTACAGCACTTTAAGTCTTTGAGAACATTCCTTTATCTTAGTTCAGGAAATGAGCACTGTCTGATGAATAAGGCACAGAATGGAGCCCCACAGTTCATTCTCCTTGTCTTAACCATGTATAACTTGAGATAAGATTCAGTCGTCTGAGGCCCCAAACAACACAAAGCAAAATGGAAGTCTTACCAGGGTGCTTTATGACATCATAGATAACAAAGTGGGATATACCTTAGTGCTAATGAAAAAAATAAAACTAACTAGTTAGGTGTCCAACTTTGTGTTCTCAGAATAATTCACGAAACTGAGGAAAGGGCAAATGACTAAGGGGAACTAAGTCAAACCGATAACTGGATCAATGGTATTCATATTTCAACTCTTTAAAAAAATTCTAATACAAAGATGATACATGAATACCATCTCAATGTAACATACTCGATTGACCCAGAAATATATAGAGTAAGATTTGAAAGTCCCCCTTCACTCCCACATCCTATTCTCCAGAGGGCACCACTATCAAGTTAGCATGCCTCTTTCCTTGCAGTACTCTTTTGTATACTGCAAATTAATTTTCACTTCAGTGTCTTGGAGGTATTTCCAACTCATTATGTATAGGTCTAACATGGTTTTTTTTAGTGCCTGAGTAACATTCTTGGTGATTCCAGTATTCATATAGGTGATCTTTCTAACACCCTGGTCTCTCTACCCAACCACTTAACTCCCATGGTCATACTCTAGAACTGCGCCATCCAATATAATAGTCACTAGACCACTTGTGGCAACTGAGCATTTGAAATGTGACTAGTTTAAGTTAAGATGCGTTGTAAGTGTAAAATACACAAGTTTGAAGAACTATGTAAAAAATTTAAATATCTCATTAAATTATTTCATACATGATTTATATATTTTTATTGGACTATGTTGCTGTAGCCTTAGTCATTATCATTAAGTTCAAATTCTCTACATTCTCAATTTTAAAATCTCATTTTCTGATCACTACCTCCTGTTCTTCCTGTTCATTCACTTTCTACAACTCTAGCATTACTTTGACCTCACCAGAACCTATAGTCCATCAATTCTACTACCTTCTTAATGCCCCTCATGCCCTTCACATCTTCACTGTTCCCTGGATTCAGCCACATCAATCTTTTTAAAGGTTACCAATCGCAAGGCAAAAACTAAAAATTAAAAAATAAAAATCTAGTTAAGATTCTATTTTTTTTTTTTTAAGATTTTATTTATTCATTTGACAGACAGAGATCACAAGCGGGGCTCGATCCCAGGACCGTGAGATCATGACCTGAGCCGAAGGCAGAGGCTTTAACCCACTGAGCCATCCAGGCGCCCCAAGATTCATTTTTAAATAAAAATATTGGCTTCCTTTTTGAGATTTCTGTTCATGTCTTTGGCACATTTGATTTGCAGAAGCTCTATAAATTCTGTGTTTTATTTGTTCATATGATGAGATAGTAATCTGGGAGGTTAACTTATGTTCCCTTCCCTGCCACCTGAAAGCTGAGGAGATTGTTACCTTACTCCATGACTTCACATTGCATTTCCTACAATAGAAAAAGTTGGAAAGTCTACTGATAATTTCCTCCAGTGTTGGAAAGCAGTAACTTGCCAAAGTGGCTATAAGAGGCCTGAAGGAGGAAATTAGGGAAACCTTGATCCAGGCTTGAACCCAAAGTTGACACTAGGTAAAAGGCAGTATCTAGAGACAAGATAGGTCAGAGATGTTAAGTACAGCCCGGGCTCATCTCTCAGGTTCAAATCTCGGTTTTACTACTTACCAACAGGATGACTTTTAACAAGCTATTTCACCTCTCTGCACCTCCATTTCCTCATCTATAAAATAAAGAATAAAGATTTTACTGACTTTACAGTGTTGTTGAGATTAAATGAGTTAATATATATAAATTGAAACAGTGGCCAACTCACAGGAAGTCTACATGTGTTACTGCTGCTACTGTTATTGTTGCTGGGATATCATACCAATAATCACAGTCCTTTCCCTAGCTGCAGTTAGAGATTTTAGCATTTTTCTAGGAAAGACTAGAAAGAAGAAGCACAGCAAAAAAAAAAAAAAAAAAAAAAAAAAAAAATCCACAAGATATCTCTCATATGAATAAATATGTATTCATTTATTCTGCTAATATTGATTCAAGACCTAGTATATGAAACACATTGTATATCACACATTGGGCAAGTTATCTAACCTGTCTATGTTTCCTCAAGATATACTAATAACCACTTTGCAGTGAGATTACAAAGATTAAAGTACATGAACAATACCATCCAATAACTGGCTATAGGTGGTACTCAATAAATGTGTTTACATTGTTTTTTTACATTGTTATATATAATATGTGTTTACATTGTTTTTTTTACATTGTTATATTGGTATATAACAATGACTAAGATACTGTTGGTGATGGGGCGCCTGGGTGGCTCAGTGGGTTAAAGCCTCTGCCTTCGGCTCAGGTCATGATCCCAGGATCCTGGGATCGAGCCCCGCATCGGGCTCTCTGCTCAGCGGGGAGCCTGCTTCCTCCTCTCTCTCTGCCTCTCTACCTACTTGTGATCTCTATCTGTCAAATGAATAAATAAAAAAATCTTTAAGATACTGTTGGTGGGAATGCAAGTTGGTGCAGCCACTTTGGAAAATAGTGTGGAGATTCCTTAAGAAATTAAAAATAGAGCTTCCCTATGACCCTGCAATTGCACTACCGGATATTTACCTCAAAGATACAGATACAGTGAAAAGATGGGCCATATGTACCCCAATGTTCATAGCAGCAATGACTACAATAGCCAAACTATGGAAAGAGACAAGATGCCCTTCAACAGACGAAATGGATAAAGATATGGTTCACATATACAACGGAATATTACACCTCCATCAGAAAGGATGAATACCCAACTTTTGTTATCAACATGGACAGAACTGAGGAGATTATGCTGAGTGAAATAAGTCAAGCAGAGAAAGTCAATTATCATATGATGTCACTCACTTGTGGAACGTAAGGAATAACATGGAGGACATTAGGAGAAGGAAAGGAAAAGCAAACTGGGGGAAATCGGAGGGGGAGATGAACCATGAGAGACTGGACTCAGAATCAAACTGAGGATCTTGGAAGAGAGGGGGATGGGGGAATGGGTGAGCCTGATTGTGGGTATTAAGGAGGGTATGTATTGCATGGAGCACTGGGTCTGGTGCATAAACAATCTTGGAACACTGAAAAAATTAAATTTAAAAAACATAAATAAGATACAGTTCCTACTGTGGGAAGTTACCTTCTTTCTTGCCTTTTCTCCTCCATTTCCCCCAACTGCCTTAACCATGTGATTTTCCCTCCTGCTTTGTATTGGATTGTATCACATTGCATTGCCTTCAATGTATTGTATTGATTTTCTCTCTGCTTTTATCAGTTGCCACCAAAGATATGGGCACCTGGATTGCCTTGCTCAGAGAGCCAATGGGACTTGCATTCAGTAGTCTCACAGGATTGTAGTAAACAAAGAAGTTCTTAATGAGCTCAAGAACACCTCCTGTGACTGTATACCCCAGCCCAGTGCCGGCGAAATGGGCAAAAACTCAGAACTACCACTTTCTCCCTGGAGGTAGTCTACATATTTTTCTAGCTCCTGCCGATGAGGTCCAGCCTTCAAACAACCTACATTTAGGACTGAAATCCTCCCCTGAGACACTGATGGATTTTGACACATGTTCAACTCCTGGAAACCACTAAGAACAAGGAAGGTAACTCGGAAAATCACAAATTTCAGAGACAATGAGGAAAACAAGCCAGGTCAATTGATGAGATTCATTTCCTACACAGGACCATGGAAAGCCACATGCAAAAGAATAAAACTGGACCCCTATCTCACACCACATAAAAAGAAATCAATTCAAACAGGTTAAAGACTTAAGACCTAAAGTCCTAAAACTCTTAGAAGAAAACACAGGGGGTAAAGTTCATGACATCAGTCTTGGCAATGATTTTTTTCTTCTATTTGATACCTTAAGAAAGGCAACAAAAGCAAAAATAAAAAAAGGGACCATATCAAATTAGAAAGTTTCTGCACAACAAAGTAAACTATCAACAAAATGAAAAGACAACCTACTGAGTAGGAGAAAATATTTGCAAACCATATATCTGATAACCTAACATCCAAAGTATATAAGGAATTCATACAACTCAAAGCAAAAAGCAAATAATATGATTTTTTAAATGGGCAAAAGAACCTAATATATATTTTTCCAGAAAGACATAAATGGCCAGCAGGTACCCAAAAAGGTGCTCAACATCACTAATGATCAGGGAAATGCAAACCCAAATCACAATGATATAGCAACTCATACCTATTAGAATGACTACCATCAAAAAGACAAGAGATAAAAAGTGTTGGTGAGGATGTAGAGAAAAGGGAATCCTTGTGTGGTGTTGGTGGG